AGGAACATGAACAAACAAAACAGATACAGACTCATAGATACAGAGAACAAACTGGTGATTACCAGATGGGAAGGATTTTGGGGGCCTGGGTGAAAAAGGTGAAGAGATGTGAAGTACAAATTGGTAGTTACAAAAGTCATGGGATGTAAACACAGCATAGAGAATATAGTCAATAATATTGTAATAACTATGTATAGTGCCAGTTAGGTACTAGACTTACCAGGGGGAATCACTTCAAAAATTATATAAATGTCTAACCTTATGTTATACACCTGAAACTAACACAAAATAATATTGAATGTCAAATATAATTGAAGAAAATATAGTCATAGGCATGTGAAGTATAGCATAAAATATAGCCAATAATATTTTAATAAGTATGTATAGTGTCACATGGTAATAGACTTATTGGGGTTATCACTTTGTGAGGTATATAAATGTCTAATCACTCTGTTCTTTTGTACACCTGAAACTGCAATACCATAACATTGCATGTCAATGGTAATTACCTTTCCTCCTCCCTTCCTTCTTTTCTTCCTTCTTCTTTTCCCTTGCTTCCTTCATATTTGTTGGTCTGTTTATATATGGGATCCTAATAACGGTTCAGCTCAACAATGGATGAGAATATACTAGCTCTGCGATGTTGAGCAAGTTATCAACATTTCTATGCCTCTATTTTATTATCTTTAAAATGGGGAAATTAATACCTATTTAATATATTATTCTGATTATTGAAAATCTATTTTTTAAAATGACCTCCTCAGATGGTTGGATTTCTTGAGTATAACAGAATAGGATTGAAACAAAGTTATTCCTATGGCTAAAGAAATGTGATATTTAGATTAAATATACAATTTGAATTGCTAGCATATTAAAATACACATTCATAGCCTAGTTTTGCCACTTGTAATTATACTGTTATTATTATTATTATTATTATTATTATTATTATTATTATTGTTTTTGCTGTCTGCCAGTCTTTTCTAAGTGTTACATTAGAAATGGAATTTCTGTGTAAAACTATATGATCAAATTTAAGTATTGATACGTATGTTTCAATTGCCTTTGAAGAATGTTGAAACAATGTATAAGCCAAAGACTGTATATGAATATAGTCAAGCCTTCATTAAAAATTAAACATTTAACAAAACAGCATTTTCAACTTAATAGAAGAAAAATGGGATCACTTTACTTTGAAGTAATTTCTGTGATTACCACAATGAACTTTAAAAATATGTATATTTGCACTGTGTACTTTTATTAGGTAACAGTCATGAGTTCTCTGTATACTATTCTACTGAAATTATTTTTTCATATTGTTTTGTTGGAATTATTTTTAAGAATAACAATTCCTAAATAAGAATATATATATTTATATATATATGGACCAAGTTTTTTTATGAGCTTTAATTTTAGTGGTGACATTTTGTTTGAAGGTAAAAAAGTCACCATCTAATTTTACAGAATCAAATTTATTGATTTTAATTATCTACCATTCCAAGTTCTGAACCATACGTCAATTTTGATTTTGATTTCCTTGTATGACTTTCTCCTTTTTATTTTTAAACTTTCATTTAGTTTTAGTTTAAGTATACCTCTTGTGGAGTTTAATTTATGTCTGATCTAATATTAAAGTCTCTACATCTTGACAGAAAAAGTTAACCCAATAATCTTAATTTTCATAAAATGGCTTTATTTTGTATTGGCCTTTATCATTCTTTTAAATTTTTTTGTATTCTCCTGATTTATTATGTGTTCTATCTTTTCTAAGTAAACTTTAATTTCTTTCTTTTTTTCTTCTTGTATTTTAGATAAAATATATCAATTTGAGAACCTTTACCAAACTTAAGTTCTTATTTTGAACAAATGTACTCTCTACATCAAAAATAAAACTATATCTACTATAGTCTCACCAGATAAGGTAAGAAAATAGGCATATTTACTTTCTCCGTTTCTCTATTTCCACTTCTTGGTTTCTTTTAATATAATTTAGAACTTTCGACCTAGTTATAGCTGTTGAATTTTATGTATTTTGCATTATACATTATCTTTCATGATTTGTAGGAAATGTAACATTCAAATTTTTTCAAAGGCTTGACAGAAACATAAGTTCATGCAAATAGGGAGTGGAAGGAACTTGGATGAATATACCTGACTTAAAGGATCAGCTGCTTGTCAACTATAGCTAGTAGTTTCCATGCAGGAATTCAATTGGATTGATGTTGACAATTTATCCAAATTAATTTATATTTTAATGTTAAAATCACGAGATATTTATAAGGTTGGTATTTATTTCAAAGTTTTTAAAACCACAAGCGAAATATGTCTCTAGTTCAACAATGACCCACAGACATCCATGATTACAACTTCTAATTTATAATATTTGTATTCTGTTTTGCAACCCAGTAACAACAGTAATTTGAAATTCATTGCTTGTTGAAATGATTTCAGGATTCATTGCGATTATTTTTGGTAGTAAATCTTCCCATTATTGAATATTTTATTTTCATATTTTTGTTTTTAAGCAGATATTCAGGAAAGATACACATTTAAACTTTCAGAACTCTTGTATGGCTGAGAATATCTTTCTGTTGACTTCACATGTGAATGACAGACAGAGAATTCTGGTGTCATAACCTCCCTGCCTATTCACTCTCCACAAGCTCTGAAACTCCAATGCCCTCCCATGTTTAATATTATCAAGAGATCTAAGGATGAACTTTCCATAGGCTCCTCTTTCGTATTACCAATTATCCATAAAATGGAACTTAGTTTTCTCTCCTTCATTAATTCATGCAATTTTTGGTTCCACTGTATTAATATAGAACTTCTCTAGTTTTTCTTTACACAAGTGGTTTTGTTTTACTGTACATAATACTATACAGATAATACTATGTTTTACTCCTTCTAGCGCCATCAACTATTCCCAAGAGTTATTATAATTTGTATCAGTTTTTAGTCTTAAAGGTACTTTTGTCTACTTTATAATCTCATTTTCATCTGCTTGAAAGAATCTAGGTTTTCTTCTACTAGGACTACAAAACAGATGATTTCTTATACTTATTCCTATTCCTTAAAGCACTTTTTTCAAAGAAAAACAGATTATTTTCATTTTCTTAAATAGTATGTTTCTCTTTCTGTATTACAAAATAGGGTCTTTGTATACACTCTCTATTGCTATGATGTTCCTTGATTATATTCTAGCTTGAGAAGAAGAGCAGGCCTTACCAAGCTGTGTGCTCCCAACTCTAATGAGCGTCATCTTCTTGTATTAACTTGGATTCACCTGATTTCTTCTACAATCCCTACCTCTGATCCTAAGATGAAGATGCAGTTGATACAATTTTAAGTTCTAGTAATTTGCAAAGAATAGTAAGGGAGCTAGGACTGTGGAAATTCCTACCAGAACAACTCTCACTGTTTTTTTCACTGGGTTTGGGGAAACTGCCATGCCACAGACAATTTTTATTAAACACCTTTATAGAGATGTAATTCATAAACCGTACAATGAATTCATCCATTTATTGTGTAAAATTCAATGTTTTAGTATATACACAGGATTATGCATCCATTACCACACTCCCCAATCTTTGTGTTGTTTTGCCCAGCCTGGTCTCCAAGTATATAATATACATCTGTTTGACATTCTTTATATGACCCAGTGGACAAGTTACCTGTGTATCTTACTTTTCGTATTATCACACTTGCCCCTGGGTTTATTGATCCAACTATTTCATAATACTCTTGACTCATAGCAGCCAAAACAACCGAGCAGAGTTGTTCCTATCTGATTTTTTTTTATTAATTCTGAATAAAAATCAGAAGGTGTTGGTGGGCTCCTTTAGGATATCTTCAGAAATGGAGCTATAAATTAGTCTTAGAACTTTCCATCAATGTGGTCACAACTTTATTAAGCAGAACCTCCTTTAACTTTGTGGCATGTGGATTGCATCCTATCCAAGCACTTATAGCAAAAACTTTATCTTATTTTATATTACTTTGTTCATTTCACCTTGTTTTTAGATGCAACAAGGAAAAAGAGTAGGTAGATTAGATATCTGTCTAAATTGTTATCAATCTTAAGAGTGTAAGGACAATTTTATAAGTTCATATTTAAGATGTAAGAATAAATAAATAACTATATATATATATATATATATTAACAATTTAAAGTAAGTCTCTTGGTACCATTTTTTATTATTTATTTATTTATTTTTAAATTTTTAAATTTTTTATTTTTTTAAAGATTTTTACTGGGGAATTGGGGAAGGGGAACAGACAAGTTGCTGTCGTTTTGTTCTACAGTCTAGTTGTGGAGGATGTTGCTTCACTGGCCCAGGTTGGCACCATCATTGTGCTCTTCCCAGGCAAAGAAGATCAGTTGCTGGCTTCTGAACAGCCCACGGCGGCTGCTGGCCGCTCACGCTGGCTGCTGACTACACACAGTAGCCCATGGTAACCCACTGCCACAGGGGCTGCAGCCTACGCCTTCAGCAGTGACTCACAGCAGCCCAGCTCCAGGTTGCGCTGTTGTCCAGCATCTTAGCTGTAGAGGGCAGTGTCACTGGCCCTCAAATGTGGGACCCGAACTGGGGCCCTCTGGTGTCCCAAGCCAGCTCTTAATCAACACGCCACTCGGCCGGCCCCAAAAAATTATATTTGTGATATATCACTGTATTTTAGCATAAATAATGAACCCACTTCAAATAACAAATGGGATTTTTTTTTTTGCTGTCCTGTAGTGGCTGAAATATATTTAAAGATCAGTTAATTCATTGATTTCAAAGCTGAGACATTGTTCAATTTAATATTTCTCCAAGACATAACAGAGGAGTTCAAGTGAATACATGGGAATACACCAAACAAAATGAAGAAAAGGAACTCAGTGCCATTTCTTACCTTGGTTTAAAGGAATAATTTTCAAAATTCTCAAATTTCTTGCAATTTCAGATATTGAAGTTAAGTTTAGAGTTGAATACTTTGTTATATGCCTGTGGAATTAAGTTAGAGTTATTTAGAAGTCATATTGAGTCTGTGCTACTTATCTTTGGCTTTTCTTATTCTTTGAAACTTATTTTTGAAACCATATAACCTTGCTCTCATTATTTATTTTATTTTGCAAATAGTTTTATTATTAATTGGAAGACAAAGATTGTTATAAAGTGCCAAGTAGCCAGGTAAATATTAATCCACAAACAAATTATGACAGTTTATAAAATTTTGACACTGTGAGTACACTTAATCCATAGCAAATACCTTATATTATGTTCACAAATATGTTGTTATCTAATTAATAAAAAGATAATTTTAAAAATCCATAGTTTTTTTTTTAAAGGAATGAGCTTCATGTTAAGGATTTAAACTTTAGGTGATAATGATGATGGCGATTTTGATGATGGTAATAACTATGATGATGATGGTGGTGACAATGGTGATGGTGATGATAGCAGGAAGCAGGGTACATAGTGGCTAAGAGCACATTCTGTATCCAGACTGCCTGTGTAGAAATTCAGGCTCCCCTCTTTACTAGCTGTGTGACATGGAAAAATTAATTTTTTGCACTTCAGTTTCCACAAAAGTGGGGATAATATCCTTTCCTCATTCTGAGGATTTTTGTGGGGATTAAATGTGTTAATATATGTAAAGTGCATAGAAGAGCAGCTGGCACCTACTAAGGGCTAAGTATTAGCTAACAGCAACAGCAGAAATAATGATAGTGATAGAAGTAGTAGTGATAATAATTGCAATGATATCAGCTACCATTTTTGATTGCTTACAACAGGGAAGACACTGATTATTAACATTTATAAAGATTTTTTTTAAAAAATTTGATCCCAAATCTACACATAGAATGTTATTTTAAATTACTTTAATCGGAGTTTAATGCCAGTTATCATTTCCTCAGCCACCAAGTAGAGTACATTCAATAGATGCATTGAAAAAATAAATACATGTATAAATCATTAGAATTTGGTGTAACACACTAGAAAATATGTGTGTGTGTGTGTGTTTAAAATATCTTACTCAGATATCTAATATATTTACCAGTCTTAAGTGACGTAGCTAAATAAAATGCAGATTGGGGACAGAACCAAATATGCCACAATCCTCTCCTAAGTCTCCAGGGGATTTTCTGCTCCCGAAAACAATCACTTCAAAAGCAAAAATTCAATCTCTATCATCTTTGTTTCATACAGAAAACAGAGATAATACCCATTCTTTTCATTTTTATTCATATTCTGAGGACTAATTTAGTTGGAGCTCCCTGAGAGAATGCATAATGACTGTAATACATGAAATATTTATTCACAAAATTTTTACAAGCAGAAAACTTTGTCAACTTCAATTTTTTTTTAATGAAAAGCATTTGCTCAGCAAGGTATTAAGATATTCACAACTTAAAGAAATACTCACTCAAACAAAGTTACGCTGAAATCAAGCCAGTTCCACAGATCACCAAAGAAATAAAAAGATCCTGCCCAGATGCCTCTTGCAGTGAGTTTTACAAGTATTTCAAGTGTGTAAATTCCAAGCAAAGTATTCCTGCAGGAAAATTTTCACATACACATTAAAAGTGAAATTAATACATGATCAGCTCTGAAATACCATGTCTATGATGACTATCTGGCAACCAATCCACCAACCAACCAATCAACTAATGAGACAACAATTAAAAAAGCATGTGCTCCCTAAATCATAGGATAGAGCTTTAGATAGGACTTGTAGGGTGATCTATGTCTTATGGCATTAACCATGAAATTTGACTATGTTTTTCAACAAATCCTAACTCAAGGTTATAGTCTGTATATATACATATTTAGGTAAATAATGAAAATACCAAATACCAAATTTATTCCACAGTGGGAATCACACAATAATTAACAGAATTGTAAAGGAGTGTGAAAGAACTAATTTTATTATATGTATATACAAAGGTATTTATGGTATATAATAAAACTATGTAACTTACTGTAATGCTGGCGACGATTTTGACAAATCAGTCATGGACATACATATGCAGTCAGTCAGGACACTAATTAAAATGAATAGTCGGAAAAAGGTAGGCCACAGTCAAGGAATAATAGATAATAATGGTATTGGCAATACATGTTTTTAAAATCTGTTCATATGTGTATACTCATATGAGACAAAATAGTTTCTTAAATGTCAAAAATATATATACTATTCATATTGAAATACAATTAAGATTAAGATTTGTTAATATTTACTACTGTTGTGTGTGTTAGAAAATATATTTAAATGTATGTTCAAATGTGGAATTGGTGGAGTTATAATCCAGATTTTAATATGACCTACATGACATATCATTCAAAAGAGAAAGATTGTAGCAATATTTGAATAAAATTGTTTCATTTGATATTAGTACAGTTTAAAGCCAACAGAAAAGGATATGGATGTACCAGAATCTTAATAGTTGTTCTTCTAATTGAATTGAAAGGAGACAGGGTACACCAGGTGGCATTGAATCTAAAGATCGTTCTCTTTTTATTTAATACCATGAAAGTCTGTAAGGCAAAAAAGAGCATCGAGTGAAATAACCTAACCAATTATGCAATGATTGGTTATTGCCCATGATCATTTCAGTCAATTCTAACAGTTATACTTTTCTTATATTTTGATATTTTTTAAAAGATGAAACAAAATGGAATGATTTTCCATTGATATTTAGGCTTATCTAACACTTTTTTTTT